TCTCAACGGGGGCGATATCGCCCCCATGTGGGCGTTTTTCCATGTTGAGGGGGCGATTAGTAACAATTTATATTTTCTGGGCGATATAGTAAAACATTATATTAAGAATAATTAGATATTTTATTCGTTATATCGTACAATAATTAAACAAATAACATTATCCTAGTCACTAGTCTATTCAATGCAGTACGAATTTGGCGTTAGCCTTGGCCCTCGGCATCGGAATTTATAGTAAAGGGGGCGATACTACGTAACGATTTTATTGAAGGGGACGATACTACGTTGAAGGGGGCGACGATTCGTTAGAGGTTGAGAAACACTGCTCTAGTGCATGATTATAAATACAGATTATGCTGATGATGATGGTATATTTTTTAATTTCGAATGTATAATATCAAATGTCATCATAAATATCAGAGAAAATATGAAATATTTTCAATAAACTATAAATAATTAAGGTCATAACATAAAACTTAAGTTAAAATACTTGTCTTCCACTATTTAAGTACTGTTATAACGTTGTTTATTAGTTTTGTTGGAGCCAAGATCATTCTTGAAAATAGCATCATAAAGCTTCTGGAATAATCTTGGTGGACTGTGATGAAATGCAACTCATTTCCTTAGTACATCCCATGCATGCTCTATGGGATTTGGGTCCTGAGATCTTGCTGTGATCTGTCAAGAAAGGTCATTGACGAGTACAGTCTTACGTGAGTAGATATTATTGTCCATGAAAATGAAATCTGCATCCACAGTATCTCGGAAAAGTCTTACAAGGGTTCCAAAATCTTCTTGTAATAATGGTATCCTTGAAAAAACGACAACCAGTGGCAGATTTCCCATTAGGTCCACTAAACCCGGGTTCGGGGCGCAAGAATTTAAACGCGAAAAATTCAAAATAATAATAATAATAATAACAATAAAATAAAGAAAAATAATTTTATGCAGAAACAATTCACAAAATGATTAGTGCAAATTAAAAGCCTAATTAGGGACAAAATAAGCCATCAGTTGAGTAATAATAGGCCTATACGAATATATTTTGCAAGAACAGAGTGGTACAGTACTAATGACGGGTTTTCAATATCAGTGTCCTTTGCTTTTTCGATATTTAAAAATCTACAAAAATACAATTATTTCATAATTAAAGCTACAAAATAGAATCATTCGATACAAAAATGGCGCTATTAGTTTGGAGATGCCTACATATTGTGAGTTTAAGGGCACGTATTTCTAAATACACCACTGACTGGACCCCTTGCATAAAACGTGGCGATCAGTGCGACCGTTAAGCATAATGTCGCCCAAATCATGATATCACAACCTGCAAACTGGTCTCTTTCCACGATACTCATGGGAATGTATGAAGGTTCCTGGCTCTCTCCATATTTTAATCCTACGAGAATCCTTCTATAGAATGTTCCTGGACTTCTGTTCATGAATTGAACAATTAAATTTACTTTTTCTTACATGAGTATATTTAATTTTAACTATTTGATTACAGTGCTAATTCTTAGAATTTCCAAACAGTAAGTTTCATGTATAAATTTTATATATAGCTTTGCACATGCAAAATTTTGACTCTAAAGAAAACTCTGTCAAATAACTGCTTCTACAATATTGTATTACTTAATACATAATAAAGTCTGAAAACAGTCAGAGTGATATTAATTTCATCAATATTATAATTGAAATATTTCATGCAAATATGAATGAATAAAAGAATTATAAATCAACTTTAACATAATCTACTCAGTGGAGTATAATTTATTCTAGAACAATATTGGCTTATTATATAAATTTTTATAACTTGTGTCTAACAAAGCAATTAAGATATTTTTATTCTACCTTCCGACAAAAGTAAATAAATGCAAATAATGTTTGCTAAGACTTGAATTATATTTCCATGCTGAAAAATTTAATCAGCAAAGACTTTAACTAATTTTCTTTAACTCATTATTAGAAGAAAATTACCAAAATATTCTTCCAATTTTTTTGAGTGTATTTTTTACCAAAAATATATTAAAATACAAATTAATAAATAAATTTAATTGTAATTTGATAATATTAAATTTAAATTTGAAGATCACACGCGTGAAAGGTGTCATAATTAGCTGCAAAGAGATTGTGATAAATATTCAAAAAATATTATACTTACATATTGTAATTGATAATTAGGCCGTCATTAATTAATTAGATAATGCAGGTTTTATAAATATAGGCTCTAGTCTATATTTATAAAAACCTGTATAAAACTCAACCTGAATAAAAAGGAAAAAATGCGATTCCGGTTTACACAGGTTTTACTACATAACTTATATTTAATTAGTACAATTTTCATACAAGATAAATTGTTTGCATTTGATTATTTAGAAAAGCTGTATAGTAATCTGGAACATTGAATCGAATGTAAAAACGTAAGTTTTTATAATGTATACTAATTTTCTGTACTCTGAATGATTCGTGTATTGAAAGGAAAAAATATTCGGAAAATCAAATAGAATTTTTATCAAGAATTCGATGAAAATCATTCGTTTTTTTATAGTAGATATGTTTGCATTTGTAGAAACGTTATAGTAAACATCCGTAATCATACATTGATGTAAAATATTTGCTGTCTATACATCATACAATTATGGAGAGACGAAAAAAATTGCCTTTCGTATACATTAAAGATCAAACGATCGATTGATCATCGATCTTTCACAGGATATACAAAATTTAACTTAGTTTATATCTTTATTTCTGCTATAAACAACGTCATAGTTACATTATTTTTTTAAAAAATCTTACTCAATTTCAAAGAATATAGGACAAGTCACTCAATAAATCATATCGTTTTAATTATTTTCCATACATAAATATGCATTTTTTGATCTAGTTTAAATTTTCTGGATTATTTTATTTTACATTACTTAGGATTAAAAATTTTGTATAAGTTTTTTTATTATTAAAATTTATTTTTAAAAGTTTTATCCTCGAATTATATCTGTATTAACATCATGAATCTTTTATAACATTTATCTGTCTTTGGAAGCTTAAGAATTTAAATAATCATTAAAATTTTTTTATTTAAATTAATATTATTCAGATAATAATTTAATAAGATTTATAAGTATATATTTTTCTGTATATACTGTACAGTACATGTAAATACAAAGACATTGTTCAATTCAAAATTCACGAGAACAAGAATTTTGTTTAAATATGAAACTAGATTACAAGCGACAAGAATTGTCGAGTAAACACTATTTTAAAAAAATATAAATCCAAATTTATGTAAATTTGAGAGAAAAACAGCCCAAATTCAAGTATACGGTATTATAACAGAGGGATATTTCAAATGTCCTTAATTTTTATAAACTCTAATCAAACTTTTTTGTATATTTAACATGCAAAACTTAATTTGAATAGCTTATAAAACTTTATACACTTTAGATTAAGCGTAATTCTAAACAATTTACAAGTAAATCTTAATTCAAATCACAACATTACCGTGCTCAAGAATGGTAAAAATATTTTAAATACGAGTAAAATGAAAATTTCTTTTTGAAGTATGTAATATTAATGAGAAAAAATTGCTTATTCAAGTTTAAAATTTTAATTAAAATATGATAACCGAAGTATATTTAACACGATAAGTTTAACAAGCAGATATTCAATTTGAAAAAAAAATTCGTCGTTTAATTGATGTTTTACAACTTGTAGAATAATTATTGATGAAATAAAAATGGCAACGATAATATAGAGATTAATTTATATCAGAATTTAAATTATTTAAAAACTTCAATCGATTGTTAACTTTAAAATTGTCACAGAAAGATCAGTAATGGTATCATGGGCCTCAATGCAAAATTTTTCATTATGGTAGCAAAAAATTTAAATTATTGTTAATTAGATATAGCATGCACCTTCAAATATTCCATACAAAAATATAGAATATTTGAAAAATATTATTTTTCCTCCCAAAATAATACTGACTAACCGGGACACCTAAAGTCCCGAGCTCTAGTATATTGCACTAATGGCACCTAGCTACATAGTTCAGTGAAAATGATAATCAATATTATCTTATATTATAAAAATTCACTTTATTCTTCTAGTTTCAACTTCAGTCCTATTACATCACTAATTTTAGTATTGATTTGTATCGAAATTTGAAAATTTCTAATTAATTCATTCCAAGATACACAAATCTCATTAAGATAATCCTAAATTTATCCAATTACAAACATATTAATTATTATAATTTAATTAATTAAACTTATATATCAAAATAAAATTTACGTTTTATATCATTTTTACTTATCATTTTTCATCTAATATTCATAGAAATTTTCATCTCATATATTTTATACCTGGGGAAACCTTTGGTATATAAAAAGTTTCTCGTGACTTTCACGTGGAAGGCCACTCTAAGCTTTCACGGTCTATTGTGACGTGTAGCGCGGTCTGATAACAATATAAAACAGTACAAGTTTAATTTTGAGTTCTAAAAGTATGATTCCTGTTTTTATTTTCAAAATACAGTCATCTGTCTAAATATATTTATATTTTTTGAGCATTCGGTAAACTAAATATAGACAATTAATATATGTAGCCTACAATAAAACATATGGCCTTACGAGATCCTTCTGAAATGAATTGTGGCCTACTGATTAAAAAATGTTCTTCACTTCTATTTCACACAGAAACTACATAAAATTTTGACCAAGAATGCTGAAGTTCCCTTCTAATTTAGTTATTTTATAATTAATATGTTTATTTTAATCAAAGAAAGTCCAAGAAAGGAATTCCAGCAGTAATTAGATGCCAATTAAAGATTTTATCTATAAATAACATCAAAGTATACGTCATATTACCAATTTTTAATTTTTAATTTACATAATTATTCTTAAAAAGAATTATCTATAATAATTTCGATAAAAATATTTCTTTTCATATTTAATTATAATCAAAGCCACGTAAAAAAGTATATAAGTAAAAGTAAAAGTATATTTTTACTTTTAAAAAAACATTTAAAAAAATTTTTTTCAAATGTTTATTAAAGATTTTATACATATTTAAAAATTATTTCTGTATTTTAAGAAATTTTATATACAAAATGTTTGAATCGAGGAAACAATGAAATAATATAATTTTATTTATATTTTATTATTAAATCTATTATTAAGAATATTTTAAAATAGACTTATTTATATTTATAACAAAAATTTATTTCAATTTTAAAAATAAATTTACAATTTTCATATTTAAATTTCTAATTATATTTAAATCAAATTCTTTCTAAATAATATCAATATTTTAAAATTTAAAAGAAGAGAATTCATGTAAAATGTTAAAAAAAAAACTTTATATTATTTTCTCATGTTAATCATATTTTAACTGAGAATTACAGCATACAATTACATAAAAATATTCCAAAATATATAAAAATGTATGTTATAATACATTCATTCTCTTATATAAATTTATATTATCGTATATAATTATATATAAATATTTAATATAATATTATATTATTCGGTTATTTTTATTACTGAATTTAAACTTAATTTTTAATTAATTTAAACAATATTTTCTAATATATTTAACATGCGAAAAACGAACTCGTCATAGCGATTTTTTAGATTTTAACACGTAAAAAATAAATATTTTTAGACGTAAATGCAGGTTAGAGAATTAAAATTTATGGAATTTAAATATGCAAATATAAAATTTTTCAAATGAACAATCGTCAAGAATCATTAAATTTATTTAATATAAAATGATTTTAATTTTTATGGCATCTTTCAAAAAAGTTTTTATCGTTTTCTTCTAACTGTTTCCGTCACATGTCCATTATTGTCAATCGCCTTTCTTTAGATAAATCCTCTCATATTATGGATACAAAAAATCATAAAATTTGTAAAAATAAGTATGTAAAGTGCGCGTTATACGTTAAGCACTGAGAAAATTCTCCATAGAAGCCTATTCAATATTGAGAAAGTTCATTAATAGACAAAGATAGATCATTAACAAGTTCAAAGTGGGAGATACTGATGAGTTGTTGTGTCATTGGCATGTATGCCAAATTAGGTACTCTATTATTATTGCCAACTTGAACACATTAATTATAATACTTTAAATGATGACACCGAAACGTTTACTATCGAATAAATTTTTAAAAAATTAAAAAAAATATATAGATATAAATTTAAATTTTCTTTCAAACATTTCGAGTAATATTATTTTTTAAAAAGTATTCTACAATTTAATAAACATACTCAAACCGGATACAGGATATAATAAAAACTTTACAGATCATTTAGAAAATTGGCTGTAAAAATTTTATGTGTGTTTAGATAAATTAAAGGCAAAATATGTAAATTTATCTAAATGTGGAAGTCTAAAATCGGTTGAAGATAGAATTTTTTAGATAAAGTTGTTTGTAAAAATTCTTGAAAATTCTAAGAATTTTTAAAATCATTTACATTTCCATAAAAGATTTATAAAGTAGACGTAAAACTGTAATTAAACAATTGTTAATTTTGTGTTTATGATAAAAATTGACTTCATAAATATTCTAAATATCGATTAATTTTAATTAAACTATTGAAGCTTAAAAGAATGTTTAATTAAGTTTTTCCAAGTTAATCAATTATTCGGATGATGTCTATGCGACACGGAACCAGATTTAGTCGATGTCACCCTATTTAATAAGTTACAAATAAAGTTTAATTGATAAATTTATTAAACGTGTAAAAGAATTCGTAATTAAATTTTATTATTATTTTTATTTTGTCAATTTGGTTAGGAGAGGATCATATAACGAAGTGAATTTTGGCGATTTGTTTAGGGTATAAAAAATATATTCTGCATTAGTTTTTGCTGTGGTGAGCAAGGAGAGGAGGGGACGTGTTACTGCACGAGACAAGAATGTTGGAAAGTTTCTGTAGCGTCCTCTATAGGGATATGCAGTCGACTCTTGTCGGCAGTGTGCGATAGATGTGTGAGAAGACGGAGGATGCTTTACTTTAAGATTAATATAGATGCTGCTGAATATTTTACTTCGGAATAATCATATTTTTATTTATAAAATGACATTCAACATAATCATATTTTGCGGTTTATACGTGAACTTGTGCGAAAATACCACATGAATACAAAGATGTTGGATAAGTGTATGTTGCAATGACAAGGGTGAGTAAGTAAACTTTGATAAATTTCCTTTATCTTCTTTATATATTACGTATATATAAAAATTAAAATTTAGTAATTAAATTTTATTAATTAAGCATTCAAAATAATAATAGAGCTGTGTAGTTCCTGTTAAAGTACTCGGCGAGTTAATTAAGTACAAACAGGTGATCGAAGATTTTAATTTTAATAAATTAAACGGAATTTTTTTTCTATCGATAACAATCGAAACAAAGAGTTTTTTATAACAAATATTTTTTTAAATATTCGATTTAGATAAGTTCTGTTTAGCGTAGAAACGAGAGAATTATTTTTTTTCTTATTAGACATCATCATCATTCTAACGTTCTTCTAATCATTCGATCTAAAAAAATTCAGAAACTTTGAAATATAATGTTATACGTTCAACTTTAATGGTTTATGACCAAGAATAGAAGTTTTTCTAGTTCCTTATCATTGATAAAATTCAAAAAAATATCTTCTATAAATAAGAAATACACACACAAAAAAATCTTTAACTGCGTTAATGTTTGTGACTAAATTATTCGATATATTATGTTAAAAATTGGTAAAAATTTATTTAAGGATAACATTTTTGGTACTTTTGATAATAGAATATTAATGTATTTCCAAAAAAAGTAATTTTATTACTTTAATGAAGTTTTGCATATATCTAAAGGCTATAAAATGTATATATTTTCTACTAAATAATCACTTAATAAATAAGTATTTTTTTTAATACAAAATTTCTTAAATTGGGAATTATCCAAAAATTTATTATTGAATTTTAAATCTAAATTTATTCATGAGTACTGTCATCTGTTTAGTAGAAGTAGGAATTATCAACTTTTAATCACAAACTTATAGTAAAGTAGTGCATAAATATATAATTTTAGGTGTACAGATGTGCTTATAATGGAGCAAAATGTGGTTATCCACTTTACAGTCAATGGAGTTTTAAAAATTATCACGAGTCATTGTATATAACTAGATACAATAAAGAAAAGAAAAGAAAAAAAAAGGGATAACTTGTGACGTTGGTGAGGGTTTCTGCGGTGTGCTTACAAGGAATAGGAGCCAATTAATGGATAGAGATTCGGCTAGTCAAAGAGAAGCGGTTTACTTGTACCTGACACGATCTCATACAATTCGAATAAGGTGTCCGAAGCATTTGTCGTATTGATTGATTGCTAAAGCCATATTAAGATTATAGCTACAACACTTTAGAATTTACTGCTTTTTATACAGTTTTCATACTTCTATAAACATAAATTTTCTTAATAATAATTTATAAAAATATAAAAAAAACCAAAATAAACAATATTTATCATTAAATTTATTATAGAAAAGTGGGTTAAGAATATTAGAATTATTAATTTTTTTAACATTCCATTAAAGTGTCATCTATAATAAAATGTGTTTTATTATCTTAAAAATAATTTCTTTTAGGAAATTTTATTGTTGAAATATTATTAAATTATTTATATATTTAATATTTATTCTTTTATTAACTATAAAATCATAATTTGTAATATATATTAATGAATGAATTAGTGATAAAGTATATAACCAGTTCTTTCTTATGGAGCAATCAATACATCTTTCAAGAATCTCATATACTTTTTTTCTTATTTTTTAGTAGTTACGTCGCACTTTTGATATTCTCTAGAGTGGTCTATCCATTGGGATTTTCAGTATTTTTTCTTTAAAAAAATCTGTCTACTTTCAGCTGATATACAGATGACATTGATTGAATAAGTATTTGAATTTGTAACTCGTGTGTACCTAAATAAATATCTATTTCCTTATATTATAAAACATGTTTTTTAAATATTACAAGATAAATTTAGAAAACTAAATATCTATATTATTGGATACTACTTAGTGCTTTATGTATTTATTCAAAATATTTGTTTGATATTGGATAATATTAGTTAACTTGGAAAAAGTTTACTTTAGTGTTATAAAAACTTTCAGAGTAAATTCTTGCAAAAAGACTATTTTATATACATTACATTCGTTGTTTTATAAAGTGTATATAATAATATTTAATGTAAAATATAGTAACAGTAAAGTTTAAAATAAATATGGTAAAGTTTACCATCCTTTTATTATACAAGGACTGTTAACTGAAGCAAATCATTCGTATTGTAACGTTAGTTGTGCTCTCAACTTCGTGGAATGTTTAGCATTTATTATAGATTGGGTAAACGTATCTAGAACACTTACAAAATTATATTTAATCAGCATCAAAATAAGAAAAAATATCACAAAAATCATAAAGCAAATTAATTTATAGAGTAAGATATAAAAGAATATTGATATAGCAATGTGTTTTTAGTAAATATACGAAGAATACTCAACGTAAATTATATATATATATATATATATATATATATCATGATTATGAATGGATACTTGGTTAGTATATGAAATTATAAATTCAAATGTATATTTGAAGAAATAAACTAAGAATCAAATAGATAGAGATGGGTTTTGATTGCCAGACACGAACTGAAATCACTCCTTGTATTAAAAGACGTGGGTTCAGTCCACATCTTGCAATCAAAACATATTTCTTCTGTCTAAATTTGTGAAAATACGATTTATAAAGTATATTTAATGCTTTGTTTATACATATAACGTAAAAAGTCCCTTAAACTTTTAAAATTTTACACTAAAAATAAAATGTTTCTGTATATCTGCTTGCCAATAAAAGATTATAATCTTAAGAATTCATATTAAATATTGAAATTAAGAATAAAAGTTACATACAATAAGTAAATAAGTATTAAAGAGATGATATTCTCGAAATATTTTCTAGGATATCATCTTTTAATACTGATCTATACGGACAACTGAATCTATATTATTGCTTTTATATCTGAAGAATTTCCTATAAAGTGGATTTCTATTTTATATTTTTCAATATTTTAGCTCAATAAAAATCACGAAAAACAATATAAGGGAACATTCAAATATGGAGTAAACAACACTCAAATAACAATATAATTATAATATATTGATAATGATAATGACGCTATAATTAAATTTATAATTATTATTAATTGTTATAAGGTATAGCCACTTCTTAATTACGACAATCAGAAAATATCAAATTTCTATTGTATTGACGACGTAAATAATTCAAATGTCAGAGATAAATCCGAGTTAAAATGTTGATTTGACATTGTTTAATTATAACTTTAATTGTGTTGTGTGTATTATTCATGAGTGAAATCACAGATCTTTAAGCAGGACATTTGTTATTTTACTTTTCATCAAAGTCTCATATAAACTTCTAATATAGGATAGATGAATGAGTAATTAAGTTATTAAATAACGTATAAATCATTAAATTTTATTATTAATTACATATTCATGAAGGAAAGAAATCGTAATTTATACAGAAACTAATTCTGATAGGATTCGAACCCATAATTTACTCTTAAAGGACGTAATTCTTTTCCAATATATAGATGTTATATATTATTAATCAGCTTCATCATAACATAGAAAACAAACTTTGTTATTAAGAACATATTTATTAAAAAAATTATAATTTATTAATCTATAGAAACTAATTCTGTTAGGAACGAACCCGTGATTTTCTATTAATGAACGCGATTCTTTTCCAATCTATAAAAACTTCATGTCATAGATTGCCACCAGCTTTATCTTAACATAGATCTTTATTTAGTTTTATTATCTTAAATTAATTAATTTAATTTTTGGCAAATAATAAGAATATTTTTGGGAAAATAGATAATACTCCTACTCCTACAGGCTACAAAGAATTAATAGTAAATACAGGAATTTGTGTAATAAAGGATATACACTTTTTAAAATTGTTTTATAATTAATTAAATACTTATTTAATATAACAATTTTTTTATTATATTTAATAATAATTTTCTCAAAATTTCACACTTACTTCTTAAATATCTTAATAAATTCATACATATTTTGTTATTTATAAATAATAAATTAAAACATTTTTAAAACACAAAAGGAAATATAAGAAATTCACTGTATAAATATATATAACAATTCTATACTTTAATATATATATATTTTTTTAAATAAAAAGTCAACATAACACGATAAGTAATCTTCTATTATTTAGACTATTATAAAACAGTTTAGTAAATCCTTTCCACCTTATTTTGACAGCTCAACAGCAACGAATCTTACAATTTATTTCTCAATTTTCTGTTTTATTTCTTATATTTTCCTTTCATATTTTTATAAGCCTCCTTGGCGGTCCTTTTTTCTTTTATTTTTAAGATTTTCCTTAGTATCGTTTCTTCTTCAATTTACTTCAAATATCCGAATCATTTAATCTCATCTTTTCCATTTATTCTTCATTCTTTCAACAATGGATCTGCTTCTATGAAGTTGAAATGCTGCGACGATTTCTTCTTTTCTTTTTATAGAGAACAGTACCCCAATTTTATGTACTATTATTAATCATCTTACCTTACACTAGTCGTTAGTAGTGTATGTTGCGCTTTATAATTGGCGAGTTTTGTATTAATCTAGTTAAATTAACAAGTCTCTAATACGAATTTATTCTCAATAAAAAAGATAATATCCCTTTATATTTAAGTGAATGATACTTTTATCAGATAAGTCGGAATTAACAATAATGTTTTCCGTCATCGAATCAATTTTAAAATGCTTACGTTTACAAATTGCTAAGAAAAATCGTCTTCTAGTTCTTGCCCAATAGCGGGACTTGGATTAACTTTCAATCGATGTTAGCAAGAGAACACTTATCTTCATATTTAAGAAAATGTTTGCGCTCTAAACATCGTTTTTACTTAAAAAATATTCTATTTTCCCATATTTAAAGTAGTAATTACAATACTTTGCCTTTACTCTTTCAGGAGCCTTACTTCTAAAGTCGTTCCCATGAAAATTCTGTTGTAAAATTATAATTTCAAGCTTATTTTCTACATTGTTTACCAAACTATCTCTCCAAATTAGTATATACATGTATT